TGACATTGTGACATCACGTTGAAGGCAATAGATGTAATGTTATGACATTGTGACATCACGTGGAATGCAATATATGTAATGTTATGACATTGTGACATCACATTGAGTGCAATAGCTGTAATGTTATGACATTGTGACATCACATGGAAGGCAATAGATGTAATGTTATGACATTGTGACATAACGTGGAAGGCAATATATGTAATGTTATGACATTGTGTCATCACATTGAGGGCAATGTATGTAATGTTATGACATTGTGACATCACATTGAAGGCAATAGATGTAATGTATTGACATTGTGACATCACGTTGAAGGCAATAGATGTAATGTTATTACATTGTGACATCACATTGAGTGCAATAGCTGTAATGTTATGACATTGTGACATCACATTGAAGGCAATAGATGTTATGTTGTGACATTGTGACATCACTTGGAAGGCAATATATGTAATGTTATGACATTTTGACATCACGTGGAAGGCCATAGATGTAATGACATTGAGTCATCACAGTAAAGGCAATATATGTAATGTTATGACATCGTGACATCACATTGAAGGAAATAGATGTTATGTTATGCCATTGTGACATCACGTGGAAGGCAAAAGATGTGATGACATTGTGACATCAAGTGGAAGGCAAAAGATGTGATGACATTGTGACATCAAGTGGAAGGCAAAAGATGTGATGACATTGTGACATCATGTGGAAGGCAATAGCTGTAATGTTATGCCATTGTGACATCACGTGGAAGGCCATAGATGTAATGACATTGAGTCATCACAGTAAAGGCAATATATGTAATGTTATGACATTGGACCTTACATTGAAGGCAATAGATGTTATGTTGTGACATTGTGACATCACATGGAAGGCAATAGATGTAATGACATTGTGACATCACATTAAAGACAATATATGTAAATTTATGACATTGTGACATCACGTGGAAGGCAATAGATGTAATCACATTGTGACATCACATTAAAGGCAATAGATGTAATGTTATGACATTGTGACATCACGTGGAAGGCAAAAGATGTAATGACATTGTGACATCACGTGGAAGGCAATATATGTAATGTTATGACATTGTGTCATCATATTGAAGGCAATAGATGTAATGACATTGTGACATCACAATTAGGGCAATAGATGTAATGTTATGACATTGTCACATCACGTGGAAGGCAAAAGATGTGATGACATTGTGACATCACGTGGAAGGCAATAGATGAAATCACATTGTGACATCACATTAAAGACAATATATGTAAATTTATGACATTGTGACATCACATTGAAGGCAATAGATGTAATGTTATGACATTGTGACATCAAGTGGAAGGCAATATATGTAATGACATTGTGACATCACAATGAGGGCAATAGATGTAATGTTATGACATTGTGACATCACATTGAAGGCAATAGATGTAATGTTATGACATTGTGACATCACGTTGAAGGCAATATATGTTATGTTATGACATTGTGACATCACATTGAGGGCAATAGTTGTAATGTTATGACATTGTGACATCACGTTGAAGGCAATAGTTGTAATGTTATGACATTGTGACATCACGTGGAAGGCAATATATGTTATGACATTGTGACATCACATTGAAGGCAATAGATGTAATGTTATGACATTGTGACATCACATTGAGGGCAATAGTTGTAATTTTATGACATTGTGACATCACGTTGAAGGCAAAAGATGTAATGTTATGACATTGTGACATCACGTTGAAGGCAATAGTTGTAATGTTATGACATTGTGACATCACGTTGAAGGCAATGTATAGAATATAAAAATGGAAATGTTTGTGGCCTGACAATGGTATACATGTTTTCAAACACTTTTTTTTTTAATGTGTTCAATGAATCTTAATTCATTTAGTAAGCTGGATTTGTATTTTTAGGTTGGCAAATCGATTTAGTTTAAAAATCACTTAAAATGTATACCATGTATGTGTGTTCATTGTTAATTATTTAACATTTAAATGTAGTTAAATGTAATTTAAATTACTAGTATAAGTATATACATTTCTGTAGTCTGTCCCTGACCTTGTTGTGTTGAGTTAACCAGTATTAGTATACATTTCTGTAGTCTGTCCCAGACCTTGTTGTATTGAGTTAACCAGTATTAGTACACATTTCTGTAGTCTGTCCCTGACCTTGTTGTATTGAGTTAACCAGTATTAGTATAAATTTCTGTAGTCTGTCCCAGACCTTATGTTGTACTGAGTTGACCAGTATAAGTACACATTTCTGTAGTCTGTCCCAGACCTTGTTGTATTGAGTTAACCAGTATTAGTATAAATTTCTGTAGTCTGTCCCAGACCTTATGTTGTACTGAGTTGACCAGTATAAGTACACATTTCTGTAGTCTGTCCCAGACCTTGTTGTATTGAGTTAACCAGTATTAGTATAAATTTCTGTAGTCTGTCCCAGACCTTATGTTGTACTGAGTTGACCAGTATAAGTACACATTTCTGTAGTCTGTCCCAGACCTTGTTGTATTGAGTTAACCAGTATTAGTATAAATTTCTGTAGTCTGTCCCAGACCTTATGTTGTACTGAGTTGACCAGTATAAGTACACATTTCTGTAGTCTGTCCCAGACCTTGTTGTATTGAGTTAACCAGTATTAGTATAAATTTCTGTAGTCTGTCCCAGACCTTATGTTGTACTGAGTTGACCAGTATAAGTACACATTTCTGTAGTCTGTCCCTGACCTTGTTGTATTGAGTTAACCAGTATTAGTATAAATTTCTGTAGTCTGTCCCAGACCTTATGTTGTACTGAGTTGACCAGTATAAGTACACATTTCTGTAGTCTGTCCCAGACCTTGTTGTATTGAGTTAACCAGTATTAGTATAAATTTCTGTAGTCTGTCCCAGACCTTATGTTGTACTGAGTTGACCAGTATAAGTACACATTTCTGTAGTCTGTCCCAGACCTTGTTGTATTGAGTTAACCAGTATTAGTATAAATTTCTGTAGTCTGTCCCAGACCTTATGTTGTACTGAGTTGACCAGTATAAGTACACATTTCTGTAGTCTGTCCCAGACCTTGTTGTATTGAGTTAACCAGTATTAGTATAAATTTCTGTAGTCTGTCCCAGACCTTATGTTGTACTGAGTTGACCAGTATAAGTACACATTTCTGTAGTCTGTCCCAGACCTTGTTGTATTGAGTTAACCAGTATTAGTATAAATTTCTGTAGTCTGTCCCAGACCTTATGTTGTACTGAGTTGACCAGTATAAGTACACATTTCTGTAGTCTGTCCCTGACCTTGTTGTATTGAGTTAACCAGTATTAGTATAAATTTCTGTAGTCTGTCCCAGACCTTATGTTGTACTGAGTTGACCAGTATAAGTACACATTTCTGTAGTCTGTCCCAGACCTTGTTGTATTGAGTTAACCAGTATTAGTATAAATTTCTGTAGTCTGTCCCAGACCTTATGTTGTACTGAGTTGACCAGTATAAGTACACATTTCTGTAGTCTGTCCCAGACCTTGTTGTATTGAGTTAACCAGTATTAGTATAAATTTCTGTAGTCTGTCCCAGACCTTATGTTGTACTGAGTTGACCAGTATAAGTACACATTTCTGTAGTCTGTCCCAGACCTTGTTGTATTGAGTTAACCAGTATTAGTATAAATTTCTGTAGTCTGTCCCAGACCTTATGTTGTACTGAGTTGACCAGTATAAGTACACATTTCTGTAGTCTGTCCCAGACCTTGTTGTATTGAGTTAACCAGTATTAGTATAAATTTCTGTAGTCTGTCCCAGACCTTATGTTGTACTGAGTTGACCAGTATAAGTACACATTTCTGTAGTCTGTCCCAGACCTTGTTGTATTGAGTTAACCAGTATTAGTATAAATTTCTGTAGTCTGTCCCAGACCTTATGTTGTACTGAGTTGACCAGTATAAGTACACATTTCTGTAGTCTGTCCCAGACCTTGTTGTATTGAGTTAACCAGTATTAGTATAAATTTCTGTAGTCTGTCCCAGACCTTATGTTGTACTGAGTTGACCAGTATAAGTACACATTTCTGTAGTCTGTCCCAGACCTTGTTGTATTGAGTTAACCAGTATTAGTATAAATTTCTGTAGTCTGTCCCAGACCTTATGTTGTACTGAGTTGACCAGTATTAGTATACATTTCTGTAGTCTGTCCCTGACCTTGTTGTATTGAGTTAACCAGTATCAGTACACATTTCTGTAGTCTGTCCCAGACCTTATGTTGTATTGAGTTAACCAGTATCAGTATACATTTCTGTAGTCAGTCCCTGACCTTGTTGTATTGAGTTAACCAGTATTAGTATAAATTTCTGTAGTCTGTCCCAGACCTTATGTTGTACTGAGTTGACCAGTATTAGTACACATTTCTGTAGTCAGTCCCTGACCTTGTTGTATTGAGTTAACCAGTATTAGTACACATTTCTGTAGTCTGTCCCAGACCTTATGTTGTATTTAGTTAACCAGTATTAGTATAAATTTCTGTAGTCTTTCCCAGACCTTATGTTGTACTGAGTTGACCAGTATTAGTACACATTTCTGTAGTCTGTCCCAGACCTTGTTGTATTGAGTATCACCATTTGCGTTTGATCTGATAATATTTGTTTTTGTTTCCTCTCAAATAATTACATGCATGAAGTTTGTTATGCATGTCAACAAGGATGTATCTCATGTATCCTCTTCAGAGAATTGTGTTTTCATCATATTTATATTTAAGCCTCTTGACACCATGTCGGATGAAACCCAAGTACAAACACTCAACAAAACATTCCTGTGGCTTACTGAACATGTAAACTGATCTAGTCACCTTTGGTTCTAGTTAACTCTATTTTGATTTTTGTTTTAATCCTTTTTTCACATACATATGCTACTTTCTTAGTATTAACTGCCTGAAAAAATCGGCCATAAATACAACGATATAGCCTATAGACTGTTCTATTCTATTTGTTATATTTTCAGGACTCTGTCAATGTTGTCAAGAAGTTCATGGAGCGTGACCCCACAGAGCTCAACTTTACTCTGATGGCCTTGTCCAAAGTGAACTAAGGTCATGACCTTGACATCTTGCTTTGCGGTAACATTCCTAAAGGAAGTCAGTGACATGGTTGTCTGGAATTAATGGGACACTTCCAGGATGCAGTACAATCTACTGTGGTTTTGTTCTTTTGTGTGAGCACCAGGTTTGAGGAGAAGCCATGCACAAGTACCGTCTTTGTCAAAGCTTAGTAATATTTCCATTGTGATCAAAGGTATTATGATATATTCTAAGACAAGCGTATAAGTTGTATTATGCTTTTGCGTTTCCTGTGTCGCGTGCTGCTTATCACTGGTTATATCCGAACATGTGACAAATATTTCTATAGTCACGTGTCTTTTCTTTGATTGAAGCGGATTAAATTTACTAATAAACAGGAGAAGACATGTTTGGTTCTAAATACCAAGTGGTAAGACACTTACAGTCAGTGAATTCTGAGAGCAAGTTTGACACTGGTAGATTCTGTTCTTAATTAACTAATTCATCCCTGAAGTTTCCTAATGAACTATTCAAACCTTTGAATAGGAAGAGTTCAAATGTGACTTCAAGGGTGAATGAATTAAGTAAGGTTGAAAATGTTATGGTTACAGTTTGTTGTAATGAGTTTGACCATGTATCACAGAGCGTAAATATTTGTTCCTACTAATTTTCAGCATTGTTTAGCCCTTTCACCACTGTAGACCATAATGGACTCATCCCAATAAATGCATGGTAGAGTCCACTAAAGTTACCTAGGGGTGAAAGGGTTAAGACCATCGAGATTATATTCTCACTGTTATGTAAAACATAAAAGTATGACACAATGATAAAGCCTATTGATATTTGATACCCTGTAATTTATGTCCTGGTTGGTTGGAAATTGTACCAGTACCATCAGGGTGGTTTTTTGTGTGGATGCAGAACCATTCCATTTAACCATAGTTGAAATACCCTAAAATATCAATAATAAGCATGGTTTGAAAATAGGCCAGCCTGGAAAATAAGTCTTGGATTCCTTACATTCAAACATATCTTCCACATTGGTCATAGGCAGGTTTAACAGGAGACGATCACATTTCAGGATTTATTCAAGCAACAATTGGATATAAGATTAAAAAAAAAAAAAAAAAAAAAATTAAAAAAAAAAAAAAAAAAACATTAAAAACCTGTATAACAGAATATTTAAAGAAAATAAGCCTAAGATCCTTTACTAAAACTTGAAATAAGCTGTGACTTATTGATCAGATGTTAGAGTAGCATTACCCTGTGCTTCCACCTGTAAAGTACATGACTAAATACACAGGTAAACAGTTACATGATACCTTTACCTTGTAAGTTCATGGAAGTGACCTCATAGTATGACAAAAGATGTTAGACTAAAAATGCTATCAAGAAATGTGGGCTCAGCAGCAATCAAACGTCTTATCATTCTGTCACTTATAGTGTTTGATTTTGATTTCAGTAATGGTATATATGGAAAATTCGAAATTATTTGATTCTACAGAAGGAACCACGTCATTAATTTGAGCCTCCTGTCCTTCTGTAGATCAGTAGATCAATGGTAACCTGTTAAATAAAAACAAAAGTTTTGTGATACATGAAGCAGTGATTTCTGACCTTATCATATAAATAAACTATTTCTTATTACAACAATGATGAAGGTGTAAAAGTAGGTTGGAGTTACAGTGAAAATTAACTAATGGCATGTTTGGTGCAGAATGAGCTAACTTGATATTATATGTTGTAGCGGGTTTAAGTCAGCAAGAAATGAGTGCCAGTGAGAATGACCCAATAAAGCTACTTTTTTTGGTGAAGAAACTGTTTTTGTTTTGTAAATGTTCAGCAATGACAGTTGTTTTGTTAGCCTATTGATGTTGGCTGAGTATTGGGGTCCAATGTGTTTAAGGATCTTTATTGTGGGACATATTGTAAGATATATCTATATATTTTGTAACGTTTATTTTCTACTGTTTGTATGCCTTTTCTAGCTAGTTAAGTTGCAATGCGTACTACAAACAAAATATATCCAAAGATGTTGATGTCAAAAGGAAGTTAAAACTGTATCAAGTGTGCCAGATTGTAGTCTTTCACAATACCCATGACATAGAATGTCATTGAACACCAGTGTATATAAACTAATCCCACCTGCAGTCTATATCCTCTTACAGAAGTCACAAGATAAACATTCTCTTTCTGGCATGCAAAGGTGTATCAACATTCGGTAAAGCAAAATTGAAAAATGAACATTAAACCAGTATCCCCAAATTTTTCCAAAAGACAATGAAAACAATCGGTTTTTGGTGGGAAGTACTTAAAAACCTGAACACCAAATGCACCAAAGCAAACACACATATACCTAATTCTATGGAATATCTCCCTGAACTCGTCACATGTCTGTGTGTTTTTATGCACAGCTCCAATTAAACCTGGCAGGATATTGTATATGACATGTCAGATGCACAAAATAAGAATTTTACATGAATATTCAGTGAAGGCTATGAATATTCATGTCATACCAATAGTACATAGTTATTAATGCTCTACATTATGTTGCTAATGTGCAATTATGATACAGGTTCAACCAGTTCTGTTTAGGAGTTGTTTGGCATATATGTAAAGACAATTTGAAGAGACAATTTATTTGAAGGACTAACTAGTACCTTGAATTAGAGAAGCCATTCGCATCAAGGCAGATGGGCAATAAATATATAAGCAATATATGACAAAATTATCATAAAACGGTTGATACATATGTAATTGAAAATTGTACAAAATTCATCTGCTGTAGAAAAGTTTGTAAATGTTTAAACATGTCAATGTTTGGTAAATGTACAATAAATAAATAATAATAATTTGTGAACTACTTTGAGATGACCTACAAACTAGGTTGTGATAAAGCCGTTTTTAAAAGAATCGAGAATTATTATTATCATTACTGAGGGAAACTACACGGTGCTTCTTTGATGCTGCCATAGATACCTTGGGTCCAGGCTGGATATTAACCACAATAGTATTCAATGTTAAAATAAGAAACCCTGTCTGCAGAGTTGGAAGCTTTAAAGTAGCCATACCTGCCTGTTGCCTTGTATGGTATGTAAAACAATATGTTTGTCAGTTTTACTGTATTAACAAATAAAATCCTCTGAACTGTTTCCTGTTGGGTTTTTTTGTTCACTTTATATTGTGTTTTATGGTAAATTTATTTATTTATGCTGCAGTTAGGACTTGTGTATTTATTTAATTAATTGAGGCCCCACATTTGAAAATGGAGGTGCTCAATATTAATCATAATGTCTGTCCTTCTGGATGTTTTCTACACATTACTTTTTATACCAGGAAATGGTACAGGACTTTGTAGTGTGTCAACATTGTCTAGCCAGTTACAACAAACATTTTAAAAATAAATAAATTTATCAGTGTATTTCCTAAAATGGAATTGGATAATTTCTACTACTGTGATTGAATATTCCTGTTATGGTCTCAACATTCTTTCACTTAGCTCGTTTTGTCAAAGTGAAGATGTCGTAATATGTTCCGAGATCTCCCACTGCCTATAAACTTAATCAGACACAGGTTTCTTTTGATACTTCACGGTGTAGTTTAACATAGCAGTCCACTTAAAATAGTGGAATCTTTACTAATCGTTGGTTTGATGTAGGTGAACCTTTTTATTACAAGGAAGCTGGTGATACTAGTGTTGTGGTACTGACTGCCCTCTGGAGGGACTTAAAGACGTAGTCCACTCTTGCTTTACTGTCGACACTGTGACCTGATTTTCCCTCAATAATAATTGTCTACCATTATCAAAGAGTTAAATAAGAATGTTGGTGACCTTCATACTTTTCTGGATTCTTCAGAACCTGGGTCTCGTTGGTTTGTGATGTTGTCTTTCCTTTCATTTTGGTACCTCCCAATTAAAAGGCATTTTCTGGCATAAGAGCACCCTAAATGGTCTGTTTTCCATACCTATCTGTATTACCGTTTTACAGTTTAATGACCAAAAGTGAACTTATCGTGTAAAAATAGCCATTATAATGTCAAGCCGAAAGGTCTGTATGGAAGGCTATTTCGGAACCATAGTTCAAAGTCTTATTGGTAAGATGGCAAACATTTATACATTAACCTTCCATTTAAAGTCCTGAAATAGATCATATAAATATAGGGATTTGAAACGAATCTGATAATGAAAAGAAATTTAAATGTTTCTCAATAATATTTGAAAACTTTGCGTGAGACACTAATTACACTATCGTGTTGGGGGTCGGGTCAACCCTTCCACGGTATAATAAACATTGAACAGTTAATAGGATCTGTTGTATATTGATGAAAATTAACAGTAATGTATAATGTCACTATAATTGTAATTAAGAAAACATTCTTAGACGTTAACAATGGCATTGTTTGAGGACGGCCTGTACGTTTACAATGGCATTGTTTGAGGACGGCCTGTACGTTTACAATGGCATTGTTTGAGGACGGCCTGTACGTTTACAATGGCATTGTTTGAGGACGGCCTGTACGTTTACAATGGCATTGTTTGAGGACGGCCTGTACGTTTACAATGGCATTGTTTGAGGACGGCCTGTACGTTTACAATGGCATTGTTTGAGGACGGCCTGTACGTTTACAATGGCATTGTTTGAGGACGGCCTGTACGTTTACAATGGCATTGTTTGAGGACGGCCTGTACGTTTACAATGGCATTGTTTGAGGACGGCCTGTACGTTTACAATGGCATTGTTTGAGGACGGCCTGTACGTTTACAATGGCATTGTTTGAGGACGGCCTGTACGTTTACAATGGCATTGTTTGAGGACGGCCTGTACGTTTACAATGGCATTGTTTGAGGACGGCCTGTACGTTTACAATGGCATTGTTTGAGGACGGCCTGTACGTTTACAATGGCATTGTTTGAGGACGGCCTGTACGTTTACAATGGCATTGTTTGAGGACGGCCTGTACGTTTACAATGGCATTGTTTGAGGACGGCCTGTACGTTTACAATGGCATTGTTTGAGGACGGCCTGTACGTTTACAATGGCATTGTTTGAGGACGGCCTGTACGTTTACAATGGCATTGTTTGAGGACGGCCTGTACGTTTACAATGGCATTGTTTGAGGACGGCCTGTACGTTTACAATGGCATTGTTTGAGGACGGCCTGTACGTTTACAATGGCATTGTTTGAGGACGGCCTGTACGTTTACAATGGCATTGTTTGAGGACGGCCTGTACGTTTACAATGGCATTGTTTGAGGACGGCCTGTACGTTTACAATGGCATTGTTTGAGGACGGCCTGTACGTTTACAATGGCATTGTTTGAGGACGGCCTGTACGTTTACAATGGCATTGTTTGAGGACGGCCTGTACGTTTACAATGGCATTGTTTGAGGACGGCCTGTACGTTTACAATGGCATTGTTTGAGGACGGCCTGTACGTTTACAATGGCATTGTTTGAGGACGGCCTGTATGTTTTTAACTTGTATACCAGTATAGACTCCCAAGTATGTGAACAAATGTTTAAGATTTATTTTAAAGTTATAACAAATCTTGTGTACTGTCCAGGAACATCCCAAAACATGTAGGACGGGTTAAGTGTGTAAGGGTGGTACCTGGTCAAAATTACGGTTCTGCTGTCCTGGTCAACCAAAGTTTTAGTACATTTTACTTCTCTGGTCAACAGCTTGCATATAAAACTGAAGTAAACACATATAGTACTGCACCAATATAGGGATTTACAAAAGTGAACACTTACAGTACTGCGCCAATATAGGGATTAACTAAAGTGAACACTTACAGTACTGCGCCAATATAGGGATTAACTAAAGTGAACACATACAGTAGTGCCCCAATACAGGGATTAACTAAGTGAACACATACAGTACTGCGCCAATATAGGGATTAACTAAAGTGAACACTTACAGTACTGCGCAAATATAGGGATTAACTAAAGTGAACACATACAGTAGTGCCCCAATATAGGGATTAACTAAGTGAACACATACAGTACTGCGCCAATACAGGGATTAACTAAGTGAACACATACAGTACTGCGCCAATATAGGGATTAACTAAAGTGAACACATACAGTACTGCGCCAATATAGGGATTAACTAAAGTGAACACATACAGTACTGCGCCAATATAGGGATTAACTAAAGTGAACACATACAGTACTGCGCCAATATAGGGATTAACTAAAGTGAACACATACAGTACTGCGCCAATATAGGGATTAACTAAAGTGAACACATACAGTACTGCGCCAATATAGGGATTAACTAAAGTGAACACATACAGTACTGCGCCAATATAGGGATTAACTAAAGTGAACACATACAGTACTGCGCCAATATAGGGATTAACTAAAGTGAACACATACAGTACTGCGCCAATATAGGGATTAACTAAAGTGAACACATACAGTACTGCGCCAATACAGGGATTAACTAAGTGAACACATACAGTACTGCGCCAATATAGGGATTAACTAAAGTGAACACATACAGTACTGCGCCAATATAGGGATTAACTAAGTGAACACATACAGTTTTGCGCCAATACAGGGATTAACTAAGTGAACACATACAGTAGTGCGCCAATATAGGGATTAACTAAGTGAACACATACAGTACTGCGCCAATTCAGGGATTACTGCACCAATACAGGGATTAACTAAGTGAACACATACAGTGCTGCGCCAATATAGGGATTAACTAAAGTGAACACATACAGTACTGCACCAATATAGGCATTAACTAAGTGAACACATACAGTATTGCGCCAATATAGGGATTAACTAAAGTGAACACATACAGTACTGTGTCAATATAGGCATTAACTAAGTGAACACATACAGTAGTGTGCCAATATAGGGATTAACTAAAGTGAACACATACGGTACTGCGCCAATTCAGGGATTACTGCACCAATACGGGGATTAACTAAGTGAACACATACAGGACTGCGCCAATTCAGGGATTACTGCCAATACAGGGATTAACTAAGTGAACACATACAGTACTGCACCAATACAGGGATTAACTAAGTGAACACGTTCAGTACTGTGTCAATATAGGCATGAACTAAGTGAACACATACAGTACTGCACCAATACAGGGATTAACTAAAGGGAACACATACAGTACTGTGCCAATACAGGGATTAACTAAGTGAACACATACAGTGCTGCGCCAATACAGGGATTAACTAAGTGAACACATACATTACTGCACCAATACAGGGATTAACTAAGTGAACACGTTCAGTACTGTGCCAATATAGGCATGAACTAAGTGAACACATACAGTACTGCACCAATACAGGGAATTAACTAAAGTGAACACATACAGTACTGCACCAAAATAGGCATTAACTAAGTGAACACATACAGTACTGCGCCAACACAGGGATAACCAAAAGTGAACACATACAGTACTGCGCCAATATAGGGATTAACTAAAGTGAACACATACAGTACTGCGCCAATACAGGGATTAACTAAAGTGAACACATACAGTACTGCACCAATATAGGCATTAACTAAGTGAACACATACAGTACTGCGCCAATACAGGGATTACCTAAGTGAACACATACAGTACTGAGCCAATACAGGGATTAACTAAAGTAAACACATACAGTACTGCGCCAATAGAGGGATTAACTAAAGTGAACACACAGCACTGCACCAATACAGGGATTAACTAAGTGAACACATACAGTACTGCGCCAACACAGGGATAACCAAAAGTGAACACATACAGTACTGCGCCAATATAGGGATTAACTAAAGTGAACACACAGCACTGCACCAATACAGGGATTAATTAAGTGAACACATACAGTACTGCGCCAATATAGGGATTAACTAAGTGAACACATATAGTACTGCGCCAATACAGGGATTAACTAAGTGAACACATACAGTACTGCGCCAATATAGGGATTAACTAAAGTGAACACATACAGTACTGCGCCAATACACGGATTAACTAAGTGAACACATACAGTACTTGGCCAATACAGGGATTAGCTAAGTGAACACATACAGTACTGTGCCAATATAGGGATTAACTAAGTGAACACATACAGTACTGCGCCAATACAGGGATTAACTAAGTGAACACATACAGTACTGCGCAAATATAGGGATTAACTAAAGTGAACACACAGCACTGCACCAATACAAGGATTAATTAAGTGAACACATACAGTACTGCGCCAATATAGGGATTAACTAAAGTGAGAACACATACAGTACTGCACCAATACAGGGATTAACTAAGTGAACACATACAGTACTGTGTCAATATAGGGATTAACTAAGTGAACACATACAGTACTGCGCCAATACAGGGATTAACTAAAGTGAACACATACAGTACTGTGCCAATACAGGGATTAACTAAGTGAACACATACAGTACTGCGCCAATACGGGGATTAACTTAAGTGAAGTTATACAGTACTGCGCCAATACAGGGATTAACTAAAGAGAACACATACTGCCCCATTACATACAAAACTGCGCCAATACAGGGATTAACTGTACTCCATCTACGCGTGGACGTGTGGAACTCTCTCCCAAATATAGTTGTAGAAGCCCCCTCACTGAATAGTTTTAAATCCCAGCTAAACAATCACTGGCGTCATCATCACTGTGTAACAGTATCAAGATGCGTCCCAACAAGCTGGAAAAGCTTACATAGACGTCGACACTACTTGAAAACAAGTACTGTGCCAATACAGGGTAACTCTTGCCCAGTCACATATTCGTCCTTCACCGGTTAAATTATATAACCGTCATTGTTGCAGAAGGCGAAATTGATTTTCCGGATATACAGCATTGAATGCAAATTAACAGTTTTTACTGCAGGTCCGCATTAACAACGTAATGGAACCAACTGTGCTGCTCTCACTTCAGATCTGTCCAAAATAACCCGCCTTTTCCTATTCAAGATCGTTATAGCGTTGTCAATCCTGAAGCATGACACGCGCCAACCCGGTCACATTATTTTCCCAGAGGAGACAAAAGATAGAGTCCGAAGGGTTGCAGTAGGGGTGTGGACAGCGGATTAAGTTCGGTCTCTAAAACGTCCCCAAATAAAGCAATCTGATTACAATACAGATGTTAATTTATTACATACGACATTAACGCCGTAGGTCATAAGTTAATATTAGTACACGACAAGTCACGTAGTTCTAATACCTCGAACACACACGGAGGCGTTCATATCATAAACCAACCAAGATAGCATGCTACACGACACTGTCGTACATATAAACACTTGTATCTCCTCATAAAACAGTGCTTTCATTCAGTCTTTTATCTTGATTAGCAAATCACGTAAACTTTTGTATGCGCCTATATATGTAGATCGATTTCAATTTTCAAAATATCTCGGCATTTCCATTGCATTAATACTATCAAAACCATCGTGTATTGCAAAGAAAACGACTCTCGGGATCCTGTACATGATGTCGGTTGTTGCTATGGCTGCAATTCGGACCTGTCACAGTGCAGCATGACATTCTGGGGTATTAGTCTGATCACAGTGGAAGTATTGAACGGGGTAAAAACCGAACACGCACCTTCAAAACGGGGTAAAAACCGAACACGCACCTTCAAAACGGAATAAAAACCGAACACGCACCTTCAAAACGGGGTTAAACCGAACACGCACCTTCAAAACGGGGTAAAAACCGAACACGCACCTTCAAAACGGTGTAAAAACCGAACACGCACTTTCAAAACGGTGTAAAAACCGAACACGCACTTTCAAAACGGTGTAAAAACCGAACACGCACTTTCAAAACGGTTTAAAAACCGAACACGTACCTTTAAAACGGTGTACAAACCGAACACGCACCTTCAAAACGGAATAAAAACCGAACACGCACTTTCAAAACGGTGTAAAAACCGAACACGCACTTTCAAAACGGTGTAAAAACCGAACACGCACCTCCCCACGCGGGCGTTGTTTCCGTACATAGTCTGTATGTGAGGGAATGACCACTGCTACATCCCATACTAAAACTGCCATTTAAGTTTTATTTATATTAAAACAAAGTCAATCCTAACAACTCGTTAGTGTTTATTCGATCTTGGACAACTCATGTCACAATTCCCTAACGTGTATTAGTTCCAAGATAGAATGTATTGCTCCATGTTAAAATCGGTGTAAGCGGGAAGTTTAATGTAACGATCTGATTGGTAGCCAGTCCATGCAGGAACAAATAAGTAAGACTTATTTTTTACATCCGGGTGATATTTTCCGAGAAGGGAAAACTTTATATGGTAAATAGAACTTAGGGATCAACTGCCACAAGTATATTAAATAGTGTTTAGTTTGTAGCTCGCTCGTGGCTAAATTCTATACATACATTCTGTACGGATAGTTGTGTATATATGAGCCCCGGATATCGGTCATGCACAACTTGTTAAGTTTTCATCCTGTTGTTTTATAACTGTCTGAATTATATATGGATTTATTGTTTCTGGCTTCCGGTAAAATATCAATTTGGATTCATTCTCAGAAAATGTCAATCTGAAAATAATGAACAAGTATAGTAAATACATGCACACTATCTGTTGCTCATGTGAAACTGGCTATGTAGGGTGTCTCCTAATCCTGTCACTCAGGATGTATATCCATCTGTTTGTTTAGAGTTTTGAGTCCATAACCGAGATCATATTAAAGTGTCCACTTCCCCACAGTGGAGTATTAGCAGGACCACTCATTGGCCTCTTTAAAGCACGATCTCACTGAAGATACCTTGGGAGACACAACTGAAGGAAAAGAGTACGTAAGAGGATAAAGCTATCGGTCTCAAGTGTTACAACGGGGCGGCAGATCAATGTAAGGTGTATGATAAATCCCCTGTAGACTATGCTTCCCGCAGGCTAGGGGATAAGCCTGCTGTATTTCGATGTATGTCGTTAGAGGCGACTTATATGGCCACATAACGAATCGGATGGGTTGGGGTTGGTTGTTCTTCGGTATCTTCTACTAAGGGAACGTTGAAGCATCCTAAATTGTTCTGTTGCCCCCATTATTCTGTTGCCCTGCTGTCCACGTTGTTATGTTGCCCTGCAGTCCTTGTTGTTCTGTTGCCCTGTTGCCCCATTGTTCTGTTGCCCTGTTGTCCCCGTTGTTCTGTTGCCCTGCAGTCCTCATTGTTCTGTTGCCATGCAGTCCCCATTGTTCTGTTGCCCTGCTGTCCCCGTTGTTCTGTTGCCCTGCTGTCCCCATTGTTCTGTTGCCATGCAGTCCCCATTGTTCTGTTGCCCTGCTGTACCCATTGTTCTGTTGTCCTGCTGTCCACATTGTTCTGTTGCTCTGCTGTACCCATTGTTCTGTTGCCCTGCTGTCCACATTGTTCTGTTGCCCTGCTATCCCCATTGTTCTGTTGCCCTGCTGTCCCCATTGTTCTGTTGCCCTGCTGTCCACATTGTTCTGTTGCCCTGCTGTCCCCATTGTTCTGTTGCCCTGCTGTCCCCATTGTTCTGTTGCCCTGCTGTACCCATTGTTCTGTTGCCCTGCTGTCCACATTGTTCTGTTGTCCTGCCGTTCACATTGTTCTGTTGCCCTGTTGTCCCCATTGTTCTGTTGCACTGCAGTCCCCATTGTTCTGTTGTCCTGCTGTCCACATTGTTCTGTTGCCCTGCTGTCCCCATTGTTCTGTTGCCCTGCTGTCCACATTGTTCTGTTGCCCTGCTGTCCCCATTGTTCTGTTGCCCTGCTGTCCCCATTGTTCTGTTGCCCTGCTGTCCACATTGTTCTGTTGCCCTGCTGTCCACATTGTTCTGTTGTCCTGCTGTTCACATTGTTCTGTTGTCCTGCATTCCCCATTGTTCTGTTGCCCTGTTGTCCCCGTTGTTCTGTTGCCCTGCTGTCCCCATTGTTCTGTTGCCCTGCTGTCCACATTGTTCTGTTGCCCTGCTGTCCACATTGTTCTGTTGTCCTGCTGTTCACATTGTTCTGTTGTCCTGCATTCCCCATTGTTCTGTTGCCCTGTTGTCCCCGTTGTTCTGTTGCCCTGCTGTCCCCATTGTTCTGTTGCCCTGCTGTCCACATTGTTCTGTTGTCCTGCTGTTCACATTGTTCTGTTGTCCTGCATTCCCCATTGTTCTGTTGCCCTTTTGTCCCCGTTGTTCTGTTGTCCTGCATTCCCCATTGTTCTGTTGCCCTGTTGTCCCCATTGTTCTGTTGCACTGCAGTCACCATTGTTATGTTGTCCTGCTGTCCACATTGTTCTGTTGCCCTGCTGACCACATTGTTCTGTTGTCCTGCTGTTCACATTGTTATGTTGTACTGCATTCCCCATTGTTCTGTTGCCCTTTTGTCCCCGTTGTTCTGTTGTCCTGCAGTCCCCATTGTTCTGTTGCCCTTTTGTCCCCGTTGTTCTGTTGTCCTGCATTCCCCATTGTTCTGTTGCCCTGCTGTCCCCATTGTTCTGTTGTCCTGCTGTTCACATTGTTCTGTTGTCCTGCATTCCCCATTGTTCTGTTGCCCTGCGGTTCCCATTGTTCTGTTGCCCTGTTGTCCCCGTTGTTCTGTTGCCCTGGAGTCCTTATTGTTCTGTTGCCCTGCTGTCCCCATTGTTCTGTTGTCCTGCTGTCCACATTATTCTGTTGCCCTGCAGTCCCCATTGTTCTGTTTTCCTGTTGTCCTCATTGTTCTGTTGCCCTGCATTCCCCATTGTTCTGTTGACCTGCTGTCCCCATTGCAACACTTGGGACCTATATCTTTATCCCTCACCTCCTCACTGTTTCTTTACGGCACTGCCTCCATTGGTACACGTCTTCATATGACTTGGCTGGTGCGAGGAGACATTATCCCAAACAACCAAACCAATCCGGAGGGGAGGGGAGAACCCCGAGGGGAGGGGAGAACTCCGAGAGGAGGGGAGGGGAGAACCCCGTGTTCTAGAGTGGTCTCACTGTGGTCACCTCGTACGATTTCGCTTTGAAACAAGTCAATAACTGTACATGTCTCCGAACCAGCAGGGGGTACTATTTATGAATTGTGTAGTTAGTGCTGGTATCATGAAACTGATTTTCTCTAACAATCTCATTTACTCGGGGTTTGTTTTTTTGCAACGCATCACTTTGAGCTATTTCAAGTAACGAGATGATTTCTTAACATAAATTCATCAATACTTGCTAGGCTACTTTAATTCATTTGTTTAAAATGTAGCCATTGAAGTAGATGTTACACGTAAGACGTGGTATGGTTCATGCACTTAATGATAATGTTCTCATCTGAAGAAATAATTGTCGCCGTAGTCATGGTTTTTTGTTATAAATATGCATTGGCTACTACTGAACACAAACAAACCGCCATGTCTTCACAACGTTAATACTGTCTAATAAACAGGATAAACAGGGTTCGCAACTTTCACGCATTTATATTATAATTTCCCCTAAATTACTCACATTATGGCTATATATGGCAGACTTTTAGTTATTAATGCACACTAACAAGATATTTGCTTACTTGACTATATATACATATATGTTTCACAGCTATTCTGTCGTTGGCGAACATGTGATAAATACAGGAAACCTGTTTTAGACTTGTTTTGTAACCAGCTGTAGCTAATGGTTGATCCATGTCTATACATCACAACGAAGAGGTACTTGATCATTTGAACGGATACAACAATATATCGATGAGCAACGTGCTACGGAAGAATAGTCCATGTTTTGATTCTACGAAATGTGAAATAGTTTCTCCTTACAAATTCTCGAGTTTCCTCTATTTCTGATTGATTCCTCACTCCAGAGCTTAGCAAAAGTACATGCCTTTCTGTCGTAAACTCTGTTTACAGTTTTGTACATTTCGATCATGTGCCCTAGGAGTCTCTTCTATACTGGTGTTGGTAGGTTCACTAGTCGTGCTGGTAATTCTAGGTCCTTCACCCCCGGTAGATAAGTCGTAGCGCGACATTGTATGCTTTCTAGATTGTCTAAATATTTTAATTTGTACTCCTCCCGCTTATTCAAAGTGTGGCAAAAAATGAAAAAATGGCATGTTGCGTAGTCCAAAAATTGAAATGATCTCCTAATAATGGCAAGCACGAGTTTGTTTTTTGACACTTTCGCTTTTTCAATGCCAACTCCAATGGTATCTGCCTCGCCCAATGTTTTAGGCCCTCGTATGTTGTATGATTTTTACATTTCATTCTTTTGTTTCCTGGATAGTTCAATATACGTCTATTTACATTTTCCAGGATTCATCTTGTTAGCCATGCTGCGCTCCATTTTCCCATTACATCCAAATCTTTCTGTAGCGAATCTTCATCCTCCGTTTCGAAGATTATTTTAAAGATTTTCGTGTCGTCAGAAAACAAATACATATCGGAACAAACTATTACTGTAGCAAACGGGGTTTTTCCAGTTAAGAAAATCAACAAAAAAGATTTTAGATACACAACTGTATGCCTATTATTAATCTCTTTATTTCCTCCAATTTGAAGATAACATGTAAATAAACAGAATAATGCGAACATATTTACATTACAAAATACCATATTAAATAAACATAGCACCAAATAACATACATGACATATACAGACTTAATTACATCGAAGTCATACATTCAGTAAATATCATTAATAAGTGTATATATGATGAGGTAATGCATACAATTGAACTACAACTTATACGTATATATCATATTAAACATTTATATTATTCTTTTATGAATATTTATCTTTATCAGGGTGTGAGATTATATCTACCCACTCCCGCTAGTATAATTTGTACATCTTTTCGACAGCTGCTGTTGATTTCAATCTAATTTCATTCATGTCTAATACATTTTATTCGTAAGTTATTTATCCCCAAATTAAAATATGTGTTAATTCATGATCTGTGTGTGAGTGTATAATGCACACTCAGCAGTAAGTATCACTTATGTTTGCGATAGAGCACCACAACTTGTCCCGTAGGTGTTCACTATAACTACACTTTAAAACAATATGCGTTAAGATATCTTGGTAAATCAAGAGGAAGACAGATGAAGTAAATAATTAACTCTTTTTTATAAGTACTGACACAGGAGCTTTTGGTGTAAGAAAGTGATAGGTGATAACAGACACGTAAATAGTACGAGTTTATACGTCACTATGGAGCCATCGACATAACACAAGCTAAGATGTATCGACATAACACAACCTAAGCTGTATCGAATAACACAAGCTAAGCTGTATCGAGTAACATTAACCGCCCGTCTGGTGTATTTGTTACCAGGACATAAATGCGACATATTGTTGCGAAAGGCTTGCAGAGGTTTCTTTCTAAAAGTCACTTAATAGTGCTTAAATGTAGTTGATCATGACTTCAACACGTTTCTAGAAAATATCGGCAACCACCAAAACAAAGGAAGGTATTATTTAAGCTGAATAACCGTTCGCATACCTCCTTCACTCATTTTTTACTCATCATTTGTTTTTGGGGTTTTTAGTTTCATAATAAGGAAACCCTCCTACGTTGAGGGCAATCATTGTTCGGGGATTTAACCAAGGGCCCTTCAACCCTTGCAATCCCTATCCCAACAATTGCTAGAGAATTAAAAAAATAATGGGGAAAAACTGAATAACCGGGGTGATGCTATTTGACAAGTAGCGTGCTTGGATTAAGGGTACCAAGTTTGCTCAAATGAATGACCTTCACCCACATTCAAGATTATAGGGATTAATTGTCTTAAAAAAACATTTAATTACTCTGTCTGAATAACCAAAAGGCTGAAGATGTTGATATTTGGCTATTTACATGGTTGAGAGTGAAGATATTTGGGATGTAGAATGTAAAGATAAGCAGCTACTAACTTTATTCAAATGAGTTACCTTTACCTTATTCAAGGTCACAGGGTCCAATTGTCTTAAAACATCTTTGAACAACTTCTTCTGAATAGCCAAAACACCCAGTCAAAGTTATCATGAATTTCAAATAAATGATTATATCCTAGTTATTGAAGTTGAAAGTGAATCACAACAGAAGCGGTAGGTACTTTATGAAACAAACGAGGTTTGACAGACCCTTGGCAACTCTCGTGTTCAGACATTCAAGATTAGACCGAACACCAAGCAAATACAATTTCGAGTCAAAGCTTATTGAGATGGAATGTGAAATAGCTTTTGAACATCACAACCATATTTTCTTTAACAAATACTTAGTACATTCTGAGACTGTGTGGTGAGTTCCGGTACCGGTTCCGATTCTGGTTCTGGTCAGTAATCAGCAACATACTATACATTGTACATGTAGCAGGTTTTCCCGTTTCCTGTGTTTTATTTGACACTGCTAGTGTCTTTCTACACAAACTTATAAGACGAGTCACCTGTCACCAAACAATCTTGCATCATCTGTATCTGTTCTCCGTCATCATCACTAGAAAGGCATCGCGACCATTTCCGGAAACCACCGTTTTTCTTATTAGTGTGCGTAAGTCGATGTCTGTACGTCAGCACCACCACTTGAACCTGCTGGCGGGATTAACAGATAATTGTCCAAACATATGTTTATCGAGTGTTAAACGCGTGTATGATCACCCACTTATTTCCTGTTCCTCCCCCTGTTAGCTTAGGAGAAAGCCTTGGCCTGCCGACATGTATTTATATTATATAGCTTTGGTTTGTTTGCATTTAAATCAGTAAACATTTACTTTTTAATGGCGATTAATTCGCATGTACGAAAAACAGTTTTCTTTTAAATGTGTATGATTAGAAAAAAAAAAGAATTAAAAATGAACTATCTTTTTTCATAATGTCTGACGACCTTGTCACGTCCCTCTACTGTGGTGATTTAAGACGTCTGCGTCACGTCCTCTACTGTGCTGATTTAAGACGTCTGCGTCACGTCCCCTACTGTGCTGATTTAAGACGTCTGCGTCACACCCCTCTACTGTGGTGATTATAGACGTCTGCGTCACGTCCCTCTACTGTGGTGATTTAAGACGTCTGCGCCACGTCCTCTACTTAGCTGATTTAAGACGTCTGCGTTACGTCCCTCTACTGTGCTGATTTAAGACGTCTGCGTCACGTCCCTCTAATGTGCTGATTTAAGACGTCTGCGTCACGTCCTTTACTGTGCTGATTTAAGACATCTGCGTCACGTCCCTCTACTGTGCTGATTTAAGACGTCTGCGTCACGTCCTCTACTTTGCTGATGTAAGACGTCTGCGTTACGTCCTCTACTGTGCTGAGTTAAGACGTCTGCGTC